AGTGAACAGATTACTGATCACATGTCAAGACATCATGGTTCCTAGTAGTGGAGAGGCTACTGGTCATATGTCAAAACATGATGATTCCTAGTAATGAAAGAGTCTATTGATCCTATGTCAGGACGTTGTGATTCCTAGTAATAAAGTGACTACTGATCACAGGCTAAGACATTATGATTCCTAGTAGTAGAAAGTCTACTGACCACATGTTGAGAAATTAGTGATTCTTAGTGATAAGACTACTGGCCATGTTATGAAATTCTAAATAGTAGACTATTGAACACTGGATTTGTGTTTCCTAATAGTAAGACTATTAGCTTCAGAGTGATAGGTTGGACCAATTATATTTGGGTGCCTAATTCAGTTAATGACATTCTAGGAATGTTTTTACTGTGATATGATTTTGAGAGTTTCATAATCATTGTGACACAAGGATTTGTTTAAGACTTTGTATAAATTCTACAAAGAAGACTTAATTATCCGACTCCAAATTGAGGAGGATAATAGAAAGAAATGATTGAATACCTCCTCAGTGAAGGCCAATGTCATTGAGCATGGCAAATTTTCTGGGATAAGGAAGAAGCCCCCCCGTGAACAAGGGTTCTAAGCTGGGACCAAGGGGTGGTGTTGCAAAAGAAGCTGGCACACAAGCCGCGGGAACTTAGTTATCAGTTCTTTGGGAAGTGCTACAATTGTGGTAGCGAGGGGTTTTAGTTTTACTAGGGCTACACGCCACATCTGCTCCGAGAAGAAGCTGTTTACAACTTTCGAACCGGTTACAAACGGTGAGAAGTTGTTTATGGGAAACTCTACTACCTCATTTGTTGAGGGAAAGGTGGTCCTGAAGTTAATCTCAGGAAACGAGCTAACCTTGAACGAAGTTCTGTATGTTCTAGACATTCGTAAGAATCTTGTCTCAAGGTCTCTTCTCAATAAACATGTTTTCGCATAGTTTTTGAGTCCGACAAGTTTGTTCTGACGAAACACAAGTGTGAAACTTGTGTTGAAGCGAAGTGGACAAGATCCCGTATGAGTTATGGAAAGACGTTAAGCCTTCTTATAAATTCTTACGAATGTGGGGGTATTTTGCAATGTGGGGGTATTTTGCAATAGTGGCGATTCCTACACCCAAACGGGTTAGGATAGGCCCGAAATCCGTGGATTGTATATTCATTGGTTATGCACATAATAGTAGTGCATATCGGTTTCTTGTGCATAAGTTTGAAATTCCAGACATACACAGGAATACCATCATGGAGACAAGGAATGCATGTTTCTTTGAAGACATTTTTCCTTGCCGAACCCATGAAGGAGTTCCAAGGTCTTTGGAGCAATTTGATGAGCTTGCTAGTGAGGATGATCATGTTGATGATTCAGGTGATGATCAAATTGAGGTTTTAGATGAGCCCAGAAGGAGTAAAAGGGCTAGGATATCCAAGTCTTTTGATCCAGACTTCTTGACTTATATGGTTGAGAACGAACCTCAAACTTTCTACGAAGCTATGACTTCTCCTGAGAGTCCTTGATGGAAAGAAGCGAACAAAAGTGAGATTGACTCCATCTTACAGAACCAAACCTGGGAGTTAGTAGATTTACCTCCAGGTTGTAAGCCTTTAGGCTGCAAATGGATTTTTAAAAGAAAGATGAAGGCTGATGGGTCTTTTGACAAGTATAAGGCGAGGCTCGTTATTAAAGGGTACAGGCAACGAGAAGGCCTGGATTACTTTGATACGTACTCACCTGTAACTAGGATAACATCCATTCGCATGGTGATTGCGTTAGCAGCTTTGCACAATCTAGAAATACACCAGATAGATGTAAAGACAGCTCTCTTAAATGGGGATTTGAATGAAGAAATCTACATGGAGCAACCTGAAGGGTTTTCAGCTCCAAGACAAAGCAAGAAAGTTTGTAAACTTGTCAAATCTTTGTATGGTTTGAACGAAGCGCCTAAACAATGGCATGAGAAGTTTGACAATGTAATGTTGTCAAATGGGTTTAGAATCAACGAATGTGACAAGTGTATTTATATCAAAGACACTGACAGAGATTGTCATTTTGTGTCTATATGTTGATGATATGCTCATTATAGGTAGTAACGATGAAATGATCAAAACTACCAAGAAGTTGTTAAACTCTAAGTTTGACATGAAGGATATAGGCATTGCAGATGTTATTCTGGGAATTAAGATTATCAGAATCTCTGGCGGAATTGTACTTTCTCAGTCTCATTATGTTGATAAGATACTTGAGAAGTTTAGTGGATCAGATACGAGTGTGTCATCAACACCTGTAGACTTATGTCTACATTTTACCTAGAATAATAATGAAAGTGTCTCACAGTTAGAATATTCTCAGGTAATTGGAAGTTTAATGTATTTGATGAGTTGTACAAGGCCGGATATAGCTTACTCGGTTAGCAGGCTTAGTAGATATCAGATATTGTACTCGATAATACCTTAACACCCGAGTGGTGCTTGAAGGATATAGTGACGCGAATTAGATATTAGATATTAAGGACTCAAAGTCCACTAGTGGATGTGTGTTCACTCTTGGTGGGGCAGCCGTGTCTTGAAAATCTTCCAAGCAAACGTGTATATCTAGATCAACGATGGAATCAGAGTTTATTGCTTTGGATAAAGCAACGGAAGAAGCAGAATGGCTTCGCCATTTCATTGAAGATATTCCACGTTGGTCTAAACCTGTGCCAGCTATTTGTATTCATTGTGATTGTCAATCTGCAATTGGTAAGACACAGAGTAATATGTATAATGAAAAGTCTAAACATATCCGTCGTAGACATAATTCCATACGACAACTACTCTCGAATGGAGTTGTCTCTTTAGATTATGTAAAGTCTAAGGACAACTTTGCGGATCTGCTAACCAAAGGGTTAAGCCAAGTGTTAGTCGAAACGTCGTCAAAAGGAATGGGGTTGAGGCCTTTGGAAGTTACCGGAATGGAAACCCAACCTAGTTGACTGGAGATCCCAAGATCTAGGTTCAATGGGACAACCTAATTGCGTGTAACGGTGGTATGTCACTGAGGAGGTTAAACCTCTAGCCATTCCTTCTATCAGTGATACTTGCAACTGTAGAGGTTAAGCTGAGCTTCTAATGACTCTAGTGTGTTAAGCTGTTGAGCTGAGTATTGCAGGATACTCAAGTAGAGTCACCTATGTGAGTGTGAAGTGGGGCCGCTTCTAGAAGAATTAGGCAGGCCAAGATTCTTTGAAACCACTCGCTGAACCAAGCTAGTGTCCAGGGCCACACAAGGCACACTAGTGAGAACAGAATGGTGGTAGGAGTAATTCCCGTGTGATATCTATTGTCTCAGTTTACATAAACGGCAGAGCAGTTCAAGATGTCTTATTCACTGATCAGCCAGTAAACTCGATAGGTTTTCACTGGGAGAGGTTCAAAGCCAAAAGCTACCTTCTCTGATGTCGGGGTTAGTTCGTTGTACTCTCTCTTTGAGTCATTATTGTTGAATGATGTCCGTTTGTTGAGTCTTTCGGTCAATTTTTATTCACGTGGGGGATTCTTGGAAAAAATGATTTTTGGTGACTTTAATTTAATATTAAAGTGTGGTGACTTTAATTAAATATTAAAGTGGGTCCCAACCTTTTATTGTGTTAGGTCCAAGTGAGCCAAAAACCATTGGGTTTTGAATAAGAAGTTGCTAAGAAATTGCCTCATGATGTTAGATTCATGAAAAGGATTTTAAAGAGTATTTAAATCATTTTTCTTGACTAAAGGGTGTGAATCCTTTGGGTATCTAAACTTTCATATTTTTGGAAAGGGGCTATGGATGTTTGGTGTTTTAATGACCAGCCTTAAAGGCTGGAGGCTCTTCTTCTCTCCCCTTTACATGTATAAATTAAGACTCTCCTATCAAGTTTCAAGATAGAAATTTTTTTCTTCCATTTTACAAGTCAGTTTGTCAGAAAGTTCCTACATTGAGAGAGTGCTGCCATTGTTCTTGTTTGCTAAGCTAGACAGAAAGTGCTTCTGCCGTAGCTGGTTTTGACCATTGTATCCTGGGAGACAGACGCCGGGTTTACTCAAGCACTCGACCCGTGAGGCGGCAAAATCTGTTTTAAGGAAACTGCTTCCGTGCAGGCTTCGGTTTCGTCTCTTTACCCTTTTATTGTTTTGTGTATTTCTGTTGAAATTTAATTGTAATTATCAGCATATGTTCTTGGTATATAATTTGATTTCTTCATAAATCTATTTATTTAATTTCACAATTTGAACAACAGGAACAACATTATAAAAGTTGGTTGGTAGACAGCTCATATACAGCTAATTAATATACTACTAATATATTCTAACACTACGAACTTCCAAATTTCCCTAGAACTTTTTGAAATCTTTTAGATTATTTTAAAATTATAGAATGTTGTGATAGGCTCTAGAGTCTGTGTTGAATCTCAATAGACTTTTAGAGTAAGAAAGGGTGTGGAGAGAGGAAATGTGAGCCGAGAGAAGGGAGAGTGGTATTAGGTGTGTGAGTAATGTAGTAACAAGCAAGCAAAGGTAGCTCTTAGACCATTTGTGGTGTACCAGTTAAAATTGAGCCTAGTTTTAAATAATTTTATTGGGATATGTATCGATATCAATGATACAGTCAAATTTCCATCGATATCAGACAATATTGGCTTGTATATAAGTGAATAACAATATTAGAGATCCAAAATACCGATTATATATCGGTTGATATGGAACACAACGGTTGATATTTAAAACCATGAAATTGAGTGTTTAGTGTCTACATGGATATACCAAAACGTCGATTTCATTTTCATACATGAGTCTGCATAAATATATAGACCCAATAAACTAAACCTGATAAAATTTGAAGAAGTGATATGAAGAAAGGAAAAGAGTTATGGCACAAAAAGATATCCAGACATGTTCTCTAACAAAACTTAGTTGCATTAAAAAAAAAAAAAAAAAAAAAGGCTGGAAAAAAATTAAAACTATAAGTGGCAACAACAATTAACATGGATAAAACAACATCTGTTATTGCTTGAAATAAATGCAACAGGTTTAGTTCATATAAACTTCAGTCATTGAGTTAGATTGGCTAGCTTTGTATTCACTATTGTGAAGGTCTTTATTAGTAGGAGTAGGTTGATTGAAATAATAGTACGCAAGAAAAAGGGAAGAAAAGAAAAGAAAATAAGGGAAAAGAAAGAGCTAAGAACATCAAATTCATTTCCATACTCACTGTCTTGGATGCACCTTCTTCTTCTTCTTCAAATGGGAATTAAAATCATTCATGCTACTCATGCACCCAAACTTGCGCTTCATTTCTCTCCACACGCTAAATTTTTCTTTTTTGCCTCTACTGCACTGAATCTCTTTCCTTATTATACAGCATTCTCTCTCCAACTCCATCACTTTGCTCCCCATTTTCTCCATCTCTATTTTCACCTCTTCTTCACTACTGCTTACCCTCTCTGCTTCTTCCTCGTCCTCTGTCTTCAGCTTTGTCAATCTCTCATCTGAACCCTGCACCTCCTTTGTGATGGTATCTCTCAAGTGTAAATGCCCCGCAAATAGTATCTGCACCACCACTCTCAATGGCAACCGTTCATTTTGTGCAGCGTGTTCACAAGCTTCTTGAGACATTTTGTGGCAATCCAAAACCCGACACACCTCTTCTCTCTCTGACTCTGTCAAATGTCTATGCTTATCCAAGTAGATGTCAATCGCTCTGTATATCCCATCAGAGCTGCGCTGAATTCCCACTGATACTGAATTCGACATTTCAGCAATTGATATAAATGTGATTGTCTTCAAATCTACATCATTTGCAACCTCTGCCAATAAATCTTCAACGAGTTGTGCCACTGTAATTAATCCAGAAACGTCTGAATGAGTGTAATTGCAGTAAAAGTTCTTTAAAATCCTCCTCACACATTCCACATCACATTTCGCTTCTCTAGCATATCCTTGAGAAGGTATTAAAAGGTCTTTGACTGTAGCTTGGTCTAGTTGTTTTCCAATCCTAACCTCAAACCCTTCTCTACAATCAGAGCTTGCTTCCAAGAACATCGCAGAATGTAGCATTTCAAACAACAAAGTGGATGGAACGAGTCCTTTCTCTCTAGGGAAAAGTCTTTCCAGTGCTTCAATAACTTCTCTTTGGGAGTTCTTCTTGTAAATAGACATATTATCCGCTTTTGTACTTTTAGAAAATACCCATTTCTTTGCATACCGAGAGAGAGATGCTGCAACATACTCTGCTGGGACATGACGCTGAATTATTGTCTGAATGATAGGCTCATAAAGCTGGAGAGACAGTGAAATCAAATCCTGTGACTGCCAATCAAGAACAAAAAGCTGCCTTCTTGCATTTGGCCTATACCCATTTTCCTGGCTCTCGCTGTCATCATCATTGATTGAATTCTTTATTGGTTCTCCAAGAAGGCGGGGCTCAACAAGTGCCTGGCCTACAATGGATTCAATACAAGCATCAACCAAACCAAGATTCACTGCTTGTTCAAGAATATTTCCTGAGGCTCTGAGGGCTTTGATTGATTCATTCCAGCTAGAGATGATTCTTTGTTCAAAGTAGGTCAAAGTTTTCTTCAATAGATTATTGGTGCTGTGCTTTTCGGTCATACCAAGGTAGTAAGCAAGGCATGAGAGTGGAACAACATTTTCAGTTGACATGTTCACTTCAAGACCATGGCAGAATCTCATTACAAGCTCTAAAATTTCTGGATCAGCAGGGATGTCCCGGAGTAAATAAGAGATATCTTCATTGGGATTCTCTTTAAGTAGCATAACTAGTTTTTCTGATCTTGCAGCCATAAGTTCCTAGACATAACAATCAATAAACATAAATCAAATTATTTTGGAAAAACAAAGGATAAGGATACAAACACAAACAAATTATAAAAAAGATGTGGGATTCTACAAAGGATACTTCTTGCCTTGTTCAAAGTGAAGGGTAGACCACGGATATGGAGTTGGAGGATTGAAGAGGATGTAGATTTTGAAAACCTGAAAACATAGGAAAAAAATGGGTGATGAGAATTACTTGCGATTAGAGAGAAATGAGTAGGTTGGATGTGATTACCATGATGATGATTCTACTAATTGTCTATCGGCCATCATATTGTAATTCTTTCTCCACCAAGCTGTTTGTTTTTTGGTTCTTTTACAAGTGGTATAGAGTTGTTAGGCTGTCAGGCTCGCTATGCAATGGTTTCAATGTTACGAAGTAAAAAAAAAGTAAGTTGCTAGTTTCTCTATTCAATTTGAACCTGCAAAGAAGCACCACACTTAATCAAATGAGGCCTGTCTCCTACATCATCTGCTATTGAACTTCATCATCTATCAACAACTAAATTGATAATGAACAAATAAATTTGAAGCTATATAATCTTCATCCAATAGGGTAAAAATCCATAAAACAAGTCCATGTTTCATTAGATGAAGGGAAAAAGTTTTTGGATAATATCAGATAAATGAAAAATCAAAAGACTAATTACAAATCACTGGAGTGCGGTTGAGAATTATGTTCCGGGACATGAAAAACTAATTACAAATCACTGGAGTGTGAGTGATAAATATGCTCCGGGACATCATTCTCACATGCTCCGGACACACGCCTTACGTGCATTCTATTAATAAGCTATTAATTTTTCCATTTCTCATTTATTTTTGAAATTCCCCCAAAGTATATATAATTTTTTTTGGAGCTGATCCCTAGATATATATCGATTTCCTATACAAATTACTAAGCTTACATTACACAAAGCCGTTTAAAAATAAATAAATAAATATCAGGATCCCAAAATTTGTGCAGAGATCATTATTAGAAAACAATGCATCCTCAACATAAATCAAAGCAATCATTACAAACCCATTTGGTTTTTCACATAAAAACCCAATTTTGAGAGATCAGAGTCAATAATTGGGATTTAATTTACAAAAGAAAAAAGAAGAAAAGGTTAATTGGTTTCAGCATAAAAAACAGGTTCAAGTGATACAATCACAAGAAGTAGCTTAACAAAAAAGAGCATAAAAACAACATTGGAGTGTCAATGATTTGTATGAAATCATAAATGCTATCTTGTTGATAATACCAATATCCAAACACAGCCTTACAATGATTTTGAATAGCTTCAAATCAAAGCAAACAGAGCACAAAAAGAAAAGAGGGTCAGTAACACACTGAGAAAATCAGCAAATAGCAGCATTTAGAGTGTTCTGTTTATGTGAATCTCTCTCTCTCTCTCTCTCTCTCTCTCTCGCTCTCTCTCTCATATATATTTGCATGAGGTTTTGAGTTGGAATTTTTTCAACGTTCATCCGGGAGATTTGGGGGGTACAGTTATTGTGGAAGTGTTGATGCGATGCGAGGGAGATAATCAGATATGCATGGATTTTTGATTAGGGAGAGGGTGTTATCAAGTGTGGCAACTTCCATATTACACCTCTGCTCCAATAATCAACTACTAGTCTCATTTTACCACATCATCAATGGTTTGGCATATTATTTGGTCGTTTTTGTTTTTGGGGGAAAAAAAATAAAATGATAAGTTTCAAAATTATCAATAGTTTTTAGGGAAAATTACAATGTTTCCTTTATATTTTGACACAAATTTTATTTTGATTATTTTAATTTAAACAATTTCATTATTATGTTTTAAATTTAGGCCAAGTTTGGGTAGTTTAAAAAAAATCAAAAAGTCAAAAAGTTACTCAAAAAGTTAAAAAGTCATCACTATTCACCAAAAGTCAACAATTACGGCTGCACAATTCCCAATTCTAATTTTCTCCTACAAACTAATTTTTACAATTTTTTATTACACATTTTTCCATAAAAAGTCAAAAAGTTAACCCAAACATTCATATTTTCAACCTCAACTTTTTAGTCTAAAAAGACAAAAAGTGCACTTATTTAGTCTTCCCAAACTTGGCCTTAGTTTTAATTTCATCATCCTATTCAAATTACTGTCAATTACTTTTACGTATAAAGCTTAAGAAAATGACGTGTTACAAAATTGTCACTTTTAACAACTAATTTGAACAGAACAACTAAATTAAAACTGGACTTAATGTTAGGAACTATGTTGTTCAAATTAATATAATAGGCACCAACAGAAATTTAAGTTAAATTATGGAGGTGAAAAGTGTAATTTACCTTGATTTATATATTAGCCCCTACCTGTTTCATAGGACCTCTTATTTCTTTTTACCCTAACCATGCAAATTGTTCTCCTCCCTCTTTTTCATTAGATTCCCACTGCAATCCTCAAAATACTCATTTCTTTGCAGAGTAATGATTGAGACCTTACTCGCACAAGACCTCAACAAATCTGAACTACTCATAATGTGGACTCTATACATGCATGAATAGGCCCCCACAAATACATAGAGGGTTAGGATCACTCTGGGATCCCCAAAGGGATTCCAAACATTTTCCTTCTTTGCACCGCCACCCTTATCGCAATTTTTCCTTTGACAAACCCCCTTTCCTGCCAGGCTGCCCCCACCACCTCTAGACACCTCCACCACCACCTTCGGCGGCCTTCTCTACCACCCCAACCCCCTTTTGCACCTCCACTATCGTCCAACAGCAGCCCTTCCTTACCCCAACAATCATTTTCGTTTGATTTTTGTTTGAATAATTAGAGCGGAATGAACTTGATTTGTTCGGCCATATTCGATTGAGCAAAGTTCGGCTAGAAACGACCGAACAAGCCAAGTTTGTTTGGTTATAGCTCACTGATTGATGAAAAATTGGTCAAATTGTTCACGTTGACTTTTGTTGTCTAAATAATCTTAAAATGTTCGGTTGCCAAAGACCGAATAATCTTAATTTGTTCGGGAATCAAAACCGAACAAAGTTTCAATTTTATTTTTTCAAAATCACACAAAACACATCAAAATGGTAACCAATCACACCCAAACATCTCTTAAATACCAAAATCTTGTACATAATTTATTTTTAATTATTATATATACGATTGAATTATGATTTGTTTTTTTGTTATTATCTTTTTCATGTTCTTTTTGATAGTTGATTCATTTGGTTCATAATTTTCTTCTAAACTGAATCAAACCACACTATGCTCAATCTGGGAGACTCCTATGATTTGCCATTGAACTTGGCAGCTAGAGTGGCTAAGGAGGATGAGTTTTGTACCATCTTCATTCTGGTTTCTAAGGAGCAATCCCTCCACAATTTCGAGCAATCCATTCATGTAGACTATCGGATAATTATGGAATTTAATGACTTGTGGACTCATAAATATGTCTATTTGACTTTGAATTTTTGATTTGAGCTTTCGATTTAGTTGGATTGAAAGGATTTGGCGAATGCGAGTTTAGAAGATCCATATTCTCATGCCCTGTGGTTGACACTGAGACAAAAAAAGAAACCGAAACTTTTATAGCCCACTTACTACATAACACTCTCATAATAGTCTATAGATTGGTGGTTATGATACAATGTTAAGAGAAATTGAAAATGGAATAGTTTTGTACAATTTACCATAAATAAATTGTACAAATGAAGTTTATAAAAGAAAACGAGGAATAAAAAAAATAAAAAACGAAGAAAATAATGAAGAAAAACGAGAAAGTAAGTGGCATAAATTGTTATTTGAAGCACGTATTTAACAATATAAAGTCAAGCATACTAAATGCCAAAATAAAACCATGTCTCTTTATTTCACAAGCATTGACATAAATGCAAAAACATTGAAGCAACAAATCTTAGTTAAGGCAACATAAGCATGTTAGTCTATCTGGGACAGAGGAGGATCTGGAACAGAGGAGGATCAGAGGATTGGAAGATCATTGGATGTCGCTGCTGCTGTACCTCCTGATATATGCTGTGGTGGTGACAGATGGATGAAGTTGCTCTTGTTGGTCTTTGGTTGTTGCCTGTTAGTGAGCTTAGCTAGTTGGGCCCCTCCAATGATGTAGTGTTTGGGGTTTGTTGTTTGTTTGTTTCCTCTCTTTTTGTTGGTTTCTCACTAATTCTTTTCGCTTGAGCTAGCATATGATTGAGTGTTCTTCTTGGTGCCAACTTAGTTGAGATTAAGAAGTTATACTATGATACTATTTGCTCTTGCCTCCTCTTTATTGATGTAATTTGATATGTGCTGTCTGCTGATTTCATCAATAAAGTCCCTCTCTTTTGCTAATCTTAAAACAAAAAAAACAAAGAAGAAGAAGAAGAAGAAAACCAAACATAAGCATGTTAGTATTATTCGCCTGCATATGCCCATAGAAGTCTCCTGTTATTTTGTGTTGACACCAAATCTATTGCCATAAACTTTTCAAATTATTTACTATTTTTGTGTTACCTTGCATATATATATATAGTTCTAAAAAACTCTTGTTGATTTTGTTTTGACCCCGTTTTATTAGAAGACTAGTCTTGAAAATTTCCACCAGTTCACAATTACTAATGAAAATTTTCCCCAAGTTTACGTAATTTCTACATAATTGTTTTTTGGCAAAGATAAAATCATCAATTCAATATATATATATAAAGAAACAATATGAACTACAATCCAACCAAAGCCATGGCAATTAAAACAAACTATGCCATAAAAAAACCATAGAAATTAAGACAATGGAAGCTCACATAACGTTGCAAACAACTAGAAGCTTTAGGGCACACAACGAAAGCTAGTCCTCGAAACAACTTTCCAACACACCTAGAAATTTCTACATGGAGTAACTCAACTACGCAACAACTCTTGTCCTTGAAATTTGCCACACATGAAGGTTTGCAACAGTATTTGTAACACTTTTACTCCAGACTATGCGATGTTTTTTTCTCTGGCATTTTTGTTACACCAAAATGCATAAGGAGAAGCCAAACATGAGTGAGAAACTGTCCACCACGTCTAAGCTCTTGAATATGGTTCTTCACTGGGCAACTTTTTGCAGCACAGCACAACATTTCCACCCACACACTACTCATGATCTTCCATCTATCCTCATTGTCCATCAAACCATGAGCTAGTTTTTGTATGTTGCTTACTGTCTGATTGCTGGAGTCGTATTCATCCTCACGCAATAGCTTATAAAATTCCTTATCATGAAATTCCTTCTTATCATAAAATTCCTTCACCTTAGTATAAGCCTGCATAAACTTGGTATAATGGGTAGATAAGGGTAAACCAGGACATATGAACAAAAGATACATCATGTAATATGACAATATTTTAGTTGCTTCCATTTCCTCTGTGACTGTTGTAGAACCATTTGCTACTGAGTGATAGCAAATATCTGTAGCAACATGCCAAATGATAATACTTTCTTCAAATTGTAGCTCAATAATCCACTTTGAATCCAGATATTTATGCTTTTCAAGTGTCTCCTCAACTATTTTCATGGTTGAAGCTTGCAAATTGTCAACTTCAGAAATGTTCTTTGGTTTTTCCCGAAGCTGATTGATGATTAATTCTTTCAAACTCGATTCGACTGAACTGAATGGTAGGCATGATTTCTTCCACATTGATTCCCTTCCACGCATAGCCTCAACCAATTTATTGAACCTTTTGGGCTTATTTTTGCTGCAAAAGTTCAATAAACTAAATTGTCCCATAAGTTCAGACCACCTTTTGCTTTTAGAGATCACAAGTTCATGAAGATAAAAAACTGGAGTGGCTAACTTACTTGAGTTATGCTTATATGCCCATACAATTGCCCAATCTGAACCAAATTGCATAATAACTCCAGCTATCTCTAAGAAAAGGGCACCAACTATCAGAACTATGGTAATTGGAAGATCCATTTTCCAATACCCATCAGGTTTTTGAAATAAGAAAAATCCCACCAACACGGCAACTACGCAACAGAAGCTAATAAATCTAAGAATGCTTCCCCATACGGTAAAAATTGTGCCTACCTTGCTAAAGATCATGTCATACATCAAACCCAACTCAATCTCAATCAACTTGAAAGTATTGTGCCTCGTACTCTCATCAACTGCCCCTGCCCACTTCTTGAATTCTTCTACCAATTTATGTAGTCTGGTACTATTACACTTATAATTGGGAATATGCGGCTTCAAGGTTTCAAAGCAAGAATAGGCTTGGATCACTAGCTTTGAGTTGGGTCCTCGTTGTGGTTCTTGTGCATCACGAATTTTGTCAATTGTGGATGGATCTAATTGTGCATCACGAATTTTGTCAATTGTGGATGGATCTAAGTGAACAAAACCATTATACCTTTCTTTGCCTCTTGATTTGATGACCCACACTCTCTCTCCATACTTGATAAGTCCAGGAAAAAGCATCAACAAAGCCAAAAGAGAGAACGCATAACCTGATTTCCATGTCCATGTTACAATCAGGATATAACTTGTTCTTAGACCTAGAGTGCCGAGTGCTAAAACATGTTTCAACCATATTTTGTTTTCTTCCAAGCGTAAGATAGTCATGGAATCTGGACCTCCAAGAAAGAACAAGATTATCGGTGCCCATATACCCCTTAGTAGATTCAGTGCCTTAACATCGTCTTTGTCACCTTTGACCTTGGAGAGCTTTCCGAGAGCAATTGTTGCCACCACATCAACTAACAAGTAGAAGAACCAAGCATTCAGATTGTTCATCATCCCCGTTGCACTCTTTCTACGACGTTGTCCAAGAACATGAAAGAATAACTGAGCAAAGAGAATGTATAAAACTAGAACCCTTAGGTCCCATTGTTCCCATATTGTTCTCAATTGTTGAAGGATTTTATCCTGGCCTATCTTACAAACCCTGATGCAAGGCATGTTGATCTCTTTCTATGCTGCAAAGATGGATGGAAAAATAAATAAATATAGGAAAAAGTTAACCATAGTTACAATCTTACTAACACTTGCACCAAAGGTGGAAGAGGGCTTCCTTTCTCATATTCAGTGCATATGTTAGTAAGATTAGTATCAACGCAGGACAAAAATCAAACAAAGGTATTCAAGCCGTCTCGAAGCCCAAGTGGGCTTGTACATCATTCGTAGAATGTGAAAATACTCTTTTTGGATTTCACATTTAAAAAAGTATGACAATGGTCATACATCCGAGGTTGGCATTAGTGCAAATGTGAATTGGCCTATTTTAGAATAGGCTTCTTTAAAAAAAAAGAAAAGGATAATTAGACTTTTCTAGTTATAAAAAAAAATGACTGAAATAATTAATTTAAGTTAAATTACACCACTAGTCCCTCTAATGGTAAGTTAATTACACCCCAAATTCTAACGATAAGTTACGAAGAGACCATATTGCAACAAAATTGAAAGTATAAGAATCAAATTATTTAAGTTGAAACTACAGAAATTAAAGTGATACTTCACTTAAAATACAAGGACAAATGGTGTAAAATGTAAATTAAATAGGTTTGAATTAGTAAATTCAAAATAAAAACCAAATAGGCTCATAAGTTTTGAAAAGAAATCTATGTCATCCTATAATTCAAAATTGCTCAACCTCCTCTGTGACAAAAATACCCTGCCCTTTTAACTCTATGGACTCAATGGGTTAAAATTGTGATACGATTTCTATGGTTTGCCTAAATAAGAAACATGTGAGAATTCAGTGCGTGATATTGAGAGAGTTAGTAGAGATGTAAGAAAGAAAAAAATAATGAGGGCACTAGGTATGAAGGGACAAGCATGTTTACTTTAGAGCTAAGTTGTTAGAGGTATAAAAATGGCCTATCGGCCTGAAGCCCACTTGCGGCTTTACTAGGCTTGGCTCGAGGGCCCTTCTAGTCCCATTCTAAAGCCCACTAGAAGCTCAACCTTATTTTAAAGTTATTTTGGTAAAAAAAGAAAAAAGAAAAATAGTCGGGCTTGGCCCAAGTTTGATTACCAAATTTATCTAGGGCTTGGGCTTGGGCCTTGGCCGAGAATTCGCTAGAGTAGGCTTGCTCGACCAGACCTGATTTTTAGCAAGAGACTGTGAGACCCAAAGCCGGGCCAAAATTACACCCCTATAAGTTGCTAGAATAAGCTCACCATGTCATATATGTGGTCCTCATACAATTGTTAAGTTAATTTATATATGTATTTGAGTTAAGGTAGTAGAGTCCAGATGGACTCTATTGAGAACCTATTATGTGTATATTTTAGTTACCTAATTGTATAGAATTAGGATTCTTATGAGTAAACTATTATAAATAGCGATAGAACTATAGGTTTCGTGAGATTGAGATAGTAGTGAGGAAAAATAGAGATGTAAAGGTTGAGGAAAATAGAACTGTAAGGGCTCAACCACCCCTGAACTTGTAGTTCGAGTAGTGGTGTGGTTTTCAGTATTTTGGTCATCTCCCATGTATTCTCTGTTTTATTTATATAGTGAAATCTCTCTTCCATTGATGTAGGCAATTGGTGCCAGACCACATAAATCTCTGTATATGATTTTTCTCTTTAGTATGTGCGTGGTGTGCTTCATTTTGCATTAGTGGAATGTGGAATAAATCCTAACACCAGTCATCCTTGAATTGATAAACGAATATATTGTTTCTAGGCTCGAATATTGCTGTAAGTTTTTTTAAAAAGTGTTTTTGGTCTTATGATGTAAGGGCATTCACAGATTGGATTGGTTTGGTTTTATAGTAAACTAGGAACAAAACCATTCCCTATAATATCTAAAAGATTAGAATCATAACCAAACCGTTAAACTTATGTAACCAGACCAAAATCAAACCATTGAAACATGTTTGGTTTGGATTAGTTCTACGGTTTTGGAATTTTATATAACAAGAAGGGTTAATTACGTTTTCACCCTGTAGCTTGATTCAAGTTTCACTTTAGCCCCTATAATTTCAAATTGAACAATTTAGTCCCTACACTTTTAAGTTTTGGTCATTTCATCCTAATTGAAAGTTAAATTAATAATTTTAGAACACTAGTCAATTTTCCAAGATATATACATAAGCAAAATTAATAGAAATTTAGACTAAAGGACCAAATTGAAATAATAGGGACTAAAGTGAAAATTAAATAAAACTATACGAGTGAAAAATGTAATTAACCCTAACAAGAAATATGATATATATTTTATGTACTCTTGTCGAGCAATGCTATGCTTTATGAAAGAATTATAAAAAAAAAGTTTTATGAAGAAACTCCGCCTTTGGATTAGTTTGTGATATTTATTGTATATGCTATGCAATTGCATGTGTTAAGTTACAACTTATCAATCATAGAGCACTATAAGACAAAATGAAATATACTATTTGCAAACTAAGACTTTAAAATTAAAACATACTTACATTAAGGTAAGCTACTTTTCTCGTTTTGTAACCTACCACACTAGATTATTTCTAAAAGATTCATGAAACATTTTTTTGATATTTTTTTCATGAAACCTATCACTACTGTTGTCAATTTACAATCAAAATTAGTGTTCAAATTTCACTAATAAGTTCTATATTCATATTTTATATACAAAAACTTAAAAAATAAAAAAAAAATATTACAATTTAGTTCGATTTAGAACCGTAACTAAAGACTTACAATCGAGAACTAGATCGATTTGAACGATTAAATCATTTTCGAAATCAAAACCAGAACCAAAGTTAATAATCGACAATTTGGATCGGATTGGTTCAGTTTATCCGTTCCATTAATTTTTTATAAACATTCCTATTAAGATGAACTCTTTATAATTTATAGTGGATTACCTCTTTCACCTGAATGTAGGTAAATTTTTAGTCGAGCCGATTAAATTCAAATCAAAGACCTTGGGTTTTAAAAAAAAAAACAATTGAGCCGACGTAAAATCAAAGTTGTTCATATCAAAGACCTCCAACCAAGGTCGTGCTGGAGGGTTTCGGCTTAGATTAGCCCAACTCAGTCATTGGCCAGATATGGGCCTGGAATAGCCCGCCTCTGTTCTAGGCTTGGCCCGGACAAATTTAAATATCTAGTCTTGCTAAAACAAAAACAAAAAGCTAATCAAACTCTCTCTCTCTCGGCTAAACCCATATGTATGTGTCTCCATGCATTAGGTATGATAAATGAACTAAATAATTTAAACTCGACTCACGTCTGACTTGTTAAAAACCTATCCTAATTCAGCTTGATAAGTAAACAAATCAATCTTAAACACATTTTGAAATTTGTTAAAGTTATAAAATCAAACTTAAAAAATCAATTGCTTCCTCAACTTAATTTGATAAGCCTATACTATATAAAAATCACTACAACAAAAACATACTTTAGTGGCACTACACTAGTGGCATATTTTTAGAAAATGCCACAAAAAATGATATTTAGTGGCACGTTTTTGAAAAATGCCACAAAACGACAAACATAAAAGGTTCTAGTGACATTTCAATGAACAAGTGTCACAACACTACAACAAAAACATATTTTAGTGACACCATACTAGTGGCATGTTCTTAAAACATGTCACAAAAAGAATATTTGTTGGCATTTTTTAGAAAAATGTCATAGAGCCACAAACATACAAGGCTCTAGTGGCATTTCTATTAAAAAAAGTGTCACTTCACTGCAACAAAAATGTCACTACAACAAATTTACACTTTAGTAACACTACACTTGTAGCATATTTTTAGAAAATGTCACAAAAATAAAAATTGGCATTAAATGTTTTAGAAAAATGCCATAGAACCACAAAACATATAAGGCTCTAGTGGCATTTCAATAAAGAAATGTCACATCAATTTTATGACATTTTATAAAATAATGACACAAAAAATTATGTTTGTGACATTTACCAACAGATGCCACTAAACTTTAGTTGCAATGGCATTTTTTAAAAAATGTCAGGACACTAGGTAGGTGCAAATTACTTTTTATGGCACTTAGGTGAAAAGTGTCATAAACAAATATTTTATAGCATTTTGAGAAATGCCACTAAGCTAAAAACTTTCCAAGCTTATAATGACATTTTTGAAAAAATAAAAAATGTCAATATATTTTCTAAATTTTTAAAATGCAGTAAATGATTAAAAATAAATAAATTAAACTCAATATACACTACAAGAAAAAGCATATTCGGCGACAAAATTTCCTGACCAAAAAAATTTGGTCGCTGAAAGTATAGCTTTCAGCGACCAAAACAGCATTAGTTGCCAAAAGTAAAGCTTTTTGGCGACTAAACAATTTTAGTAGCCAAAAGTCTACAATTGGCGACTAAAAATAAGTTTGGTCGCTGATTATATGGGTTTTACGGACTAAAAAAATTTTAGTAGCCAAAAGTAAAGCTTTTTGGTGCCAAAAAAAATTTTAGTAGCCAAAAGTCTACAATTGACGACTAAAAATAAGTTTAGTCGCCAAAAGTGGTCATTTTTAGCGCGAGAGAACTAAAATTCTAAGGCGGGAATAAATTTTTTTGGTGACCAAAATTTTGGTAGCTGAAAGTGCATCTTCGGCGACCAAATCCGATTTTGGTCGACAAAAGTTAAGTTTTTTAGCAACTAAAAAATAATTAGTAGCCAAAAGTATAGAATTGGCGACTAAAAAATATTTTTAGTCGCCAAAAGTGATATTTTTTTTATTTTGGTAGTAAATAGTTTATTTTACATAAATTATGTTCAATAAAATAATTATGTTTATACATATACTTTTATATTAATATGGATGTATGTACTATATAAATAATATATGTTGCATATATAATCATGTAGTGGTATAGAGGTGTAGTGGGAAGAGTGTGGTGTATAAGGTTTATGGTACGGAAGGTTAGCGGTTCGAGTCTCCGCAAGAGCGGATCAAATTGTTCTACAACGAATTATCGTCATGAATGGCACTTGATAGCGTCACGAATAGCGCCTACCATGACATTAAAGTGTCACTGAAAAGTTTTAGTCTTGATGGTGTAATGACACTTACAAGTGTCACTAACTCTTTTTTTAATGGCGCTTGATAGTGCCACAAGTAATATCTACCATGACATTAAAATGTCATTGAAAGTTTTCAACCATGATGGTGCAGTGGCACTTGCAAGTATCTACCGTGGCACTCGTATCTACCGTGGCACCGATAGAAGTGGCACTTGTTCAAAATGCCACAAGACCAAAAAATGTCATTAGAAGAATAGTTTTGTGGCACTTTCAAATGTCACTAAACTAAGAAAATGTTGTAGTGAATACTGAACTACTTAGGCTCAATTTGATAAAAAGTTCGTTCGAGATTAGTTCAAAAGTTTAACGTTGAACAAATTTTATAACTTGTTAAAATTTTCAAATCAAACTTGAACAGTTAACTATTCGACTCGTTTATCACCCGAACATGCATACATGAGATCAAACTGTCTGCATAGCTGTGCAAATCTTTTGCTAAGTATTTATAGTGAATATATCACCAAGCTAAGTGTTACAAGCTACCATTTGATTGACATCCCATATGATGTGATCATAACACAATAGAGGGAAACAAAATAAAAATAAAAATAATGATAAATGTGAATTGAAAATGTAAACATTCATGCTTTCAATAAATAAAATAATGTGCATTTTTAAAAAGAAAACTGTAAGTGTAAATATTCACATTCAAAATTGTGACATAAAATAGTAAGTGCCAAATTTCATATTTTCAATCAATAAATTTATTAAAATATCACAACATCACTCTTTTTTAACTGAAATTATACAAATTATAAAATAAAAAATGAGAACATATATATTATGAAATTTATCAGATTACGAACTTTTACACTTTTTTTTAATGTGAAAATTATAAAAATTATGCAATAAAAAATCTAAACGAAGATTAATATACAATATGAATGTTCACAGTAAGTAACAAATATACAACTAGCCTTACAAAAAAAAACAAAACCATATCAAAATATAATGTAAATATTCACAGTTTAATATTAGCATACAACTAGCCTTAAAGAAAAAAACTATATTCCATATATCTATCTTACTGTGAACATTCACATTATCAAAATATCTAAAATATTACTGGTCATTTTACGTCTCTATTCTGTATATCTATCTTAGTGTGAAAGTTTACATTGTCGAACAATATGCATCACTGTCAAATGTTCATACATCTCAATATGGCACATTCAAATCCAACCATCATTTCATCAACACAACAATATATCAGTTCCAATCCAAACACAAAATTTGAAAACGAACGTAATGTGATCAAATGAATGTAACGTATTCATCACAAATATAACCTCACATGCAATTAAGTAATAATCAAAACAACTAACCTTCCTCAGATACAGCTCTTCTGTGATTCAAAACAACAAAATGGTATGAACACCAAAATGTAACTTCGCTTGGATTGAGAAACTCCAACTGTAATGGAACCTTCACTTTGTTAGTAGCCAGAATTGTACAAACACCAACCGTAGACAAACGATTAGAAATGCATGAATCGTATCCAAAAATTTCATTTCCAAACGTGTATTAGAAACTACCAAAACAGAACAGTTGAAAAATAGAATATAGAATATATATGTATACACACACACATCTATCTATATATATTGTGTGTTTATATGTGATATAATGACTAAAGGTAAAATAGTTCACATAATACCTCTAACATAGAGAAAAAGACTTATTGAAATATAAGTTCAAATGTATGGGATTAATTAGTTTAGAAGAATATGTTTTGGATCAAATTGGGTACAAGTCCATCAAATGGAATTTTTCATTAATGTTGTGTTTGGTTGAGGGATTTGAAAAGGGAAAGGAAAAATGTGTGTGAAATTATGTGAAATATAGACATGATATATTTACATTTCACTTACCTTTTCCATTTCTTTTTCCAAATTTCTCTCCAAATCCTCCAACCAAACACAGCATAAATCTCTTATAATAGTAATAGGGGATGCTTTTGTTTAGTCCAAATCGGACTAGAGGGTGCTCTTAGGCGTCCATAGTGCAAGATAAGGAAATTGAGAAAAAGAGGTTTTTCAACTTACCAGTTATATATGAATGTTATAGTGCAAGAAAAGGAAATTGAGAAAAACAGGTTTTTTAACTTACCAATTATATAGTGCAATCTGTGAGTGCTTGTGCTTCTGAAGTAGCAGCCGATGTGGAGACCAATGCCAGCTTTGTTGAGAGAGAGAGAGAGTGAGTGAGAAAGAGAGAGAACAAGTGTCATTAATTTATAGAAGTACACACTTGAAATGCAAGTAATAAGGATGCTCATACGGATAAAGCTTCATCCTAGTCTTGAATTGGATTGAAAGTAATGTAAGGATACTCATATGGATTCTAGTCTTGAATTGGACTGAAAGTAATGGTGAAAGCCGAGCTCAACAAGCTGAATAGTTAATTATTTAAGTTCATTTTAAAAAATTTAATAAGTTTTAAAATTTGTTTGAAATTTTATTTGTTAAATTTTTGAGTTAATTTCAAATGCATTTTTGTTGAGTCGAATTTGAGTGGTTTAGTATTCTTATATAGTTTTAAACTTATTGTACTGAGCTGAATGATCAAATAACTTTTCAAATTTGGTTTGAAAATTTTAACAAATATTAAGATGTGTTTAAAATTGACTTATTACTTAATAAATTGAATTCCAACGAGTTTTTAATTAGTCAAATACAAGTTGAGTTCGAACTGTTCGATTCATTTATCACCCTTAATTAGAAGGCTTTAGTTGGTTCACTATTCTGTCTATTTTGTGTTTACTTTGAAGAATTGAACTATTCATTTCATGGGTTCGTTGAGTAAACCATCTATACTAGAAATCAAATTAATTGGATTTCCGATCTCATTTGTCTTAAAAATAAGGATAAACTACAAATATATCATAATAGTTGGATTTAATTCCCATTGAGTCCTAAAATAAGTCTTAATAAAATCGTCACTAAAAATAATTTTTCGTGACGATTTTTTGCATGTCGCTGAAAATTAACAATTAGCTACTTTTTTGTCACGATTTTTATAAATTATCACTAAAATTTACAATTAGTGACATTTTTCTGGGACAAATTTTTTAAAATGTCACTAAAAGTTAAAAAGTAGTGACAATTTTTGAACTGTTGTTGAAAATTAATAATTAGTTACATTTTTTTAATAGTGTTTGATGAAAAATGCTATTAATTATCACATGATCTATTGGACAATAAGTCCAATTATTAGGATCTACATGTAAGTCTCCCTAAAAACAATGAACAAGTAGGATTTTTGAGATGAACTACTCATATATATTTTAAGACAAATTTGATACAAAGTGAGTATTGACATTCGATCAACATGATTATTTTTTTTTTTTATATAAATAATTTACTCAACAGTCTTATAATATGAATAATTTAAATGGGTTTGGCTTTGGTCTAATCTAAGATTGGACTAGACCGTGCTGTTGGGCTCCCACCACGGGTCCTATTTTGATAATTCGAACCGTTTAATTTGTAAAACTCATCGAGTATTATATGTTTGTAAAAAATCACGTTGATTGGATATCAACACCTATGTGATCAAATCAGTTTTGTATAAAAAAATGGACGGTGAACAAATTAACGATTGACAAAAAACTGTTTTGATCACATAGCTATCGATATCCGATCAACGTGATGTTTTATACACATATAGTATTCGACGAGTTCTACACATTGACGGTTTGGATTATCAAAACAGGATCCGTGGTGGACCCCCACTGGTCCAACAGCACAGTCCAGTCCGATCTTAGACTGGACCAAAGCCAAACCCAATTTGAATTATTGAACTAAGCCACAAGTGAACAGAACAATGGGCTAACTGGACCTCTCCAGACCAAAATTTATTTATTTTGATAATTTAGTATTTGGTCCAAAAGATCGACTAGTCTAGGATCAATTCCACCATTTACTAATGAGGATCTAATTGAAGCCGGAGCAAAATCCTATATAAATTGACCCTAAAAAATTGTTTGTACCACTTCAGTCCAATTAAAAGTTCGGAAAGAATCGTCATCCTACTTATATTTTTAAGAAAATACATTCACATAAAGATTTTTGCATTGTTTTATATACAGGAAATACACTATTAGAAGCAGAATATAGCTAAAAATTACTTTATTTATGTGATTTTGAGAAGGGACCCAAAAAAGAAAAGAGTAAAAGTACAAAAGTGTGAAAGTGTAGAAGTATGACACAGCCACTCTTTATGCGTTTCTTGTTGCATGCTATATATGCTTTGAGTGTGAGTACGATAGACTTCGAAACAACTGTCATTAGAAGATACATTTTATTTTTTATCACTAGTTGTCACGGGCGTGATGCACGAGATTTTACAAAGTGAATAATATTAAAATAAAAAATATATTAATTTAGTTGTTTTCTTTAATATAAATAAAATATTTTTATATAATTTGTGTATATAAATCTTACTATTCATCATTCAAAATTTTTAATTCTTCACAATATGGAAAATTTTAGAAAACTTTCATAAATTATGTAAATTATCACATAACAAATAGATAATAAAAGTTAGCTAAGACAACCAAAAGTGGAGCAAAAAACATACTAAAATTATAATTAATCAAAATAACTAATATTAAATAAAAAATGCTATTTTTTTTTTCATTTTTTTCAATCAATAAGAGATATTATATTAATCATTCCACATAGTATAATGAATTGAAATAAAATTAATTTTCATTTCCATTATATTTAGTTAGTGGTTACAAAATTTTACATAATATATTTTTTTTTTTGCTTTTAATTTTATATTGATTCACTAAACATAAATAGGTTTGGAAATGCATTAAAGTTGAACTGACAAACATAAAGAATAAAAATATTTAAATTATTCAAAAAATCTAACATTTTAAACATCAGATCGCTTGCATTTGTTCCAAATTTGAATTTGCATAAAAAGACATTTAAAAAAAAAAAAAAGAAGAAGAAGAAATTTGTGGTTTATGTCTCAAAAGAAATGAGTTCTTGAAAATTAATTTACTCATAAGTTATTTCAACATGGTAATCAACAACCAAAAATAATTGATGATTAAATTTATAACATAAACCCATATTCAAATAAATTGTGATGCTCTCTTCACTTCAAATCTAACATCTGCACCAGAAAAAATTAAACGCAAATAGTCAATAAGTAAAAGAGTCACAAATTCACTTCCAGAAAAAAAAAAAAAAGAAAAAAAAGAAAAAAGAATGAAATCTCAATTCAATGAAACATTATTAGCCAAAAAAGAAAGAAACAAAAATATACAGACAGTAAGAAAAAGGAAAAAGAAAAAGAAAAAAAAACATAATTTAAAGAAAAATAAAATAATAATATCCATTTACATAAATTTCATTTCCCACAAGCGCAAAAACTCATGTAAGTACACATTTCAAATGTAAAGTAGATACAATTGAAAAAAAAAATTCACTTATGACTTGAAGTTTAATACCAGATTTTTATGGCACCATGAAGGGAAGTTAAAAAGGGCTCAATGTTGATTGTGATATATATATATATATATTTCCCTTTTCAATCTCATGTTCATGATTCCTTTTTCACGCACTTATTTTTATATTGAAAAGATTAAAAATTTAGACAAAAGATATACTTAGAATTCTATCATATTTAAAATTTATATGGATAATTAATTAATGATTTTAAAAGATAAAATAAAGTTTAACTTGAAAATAAACTTTGAAAAAATTAAGCTGAAATATATGAGAATTTATAACAATCATGTTCATATAGAAGTTAAATTCCAAGAAAAAGAGAGTTCTGCCGAAAATAAAAAGTTATGTTCGAATTTAAAAATAAAATAAGATAAACATGCAAAAATAAAAAAATAAAATAAAACTTCATGCAAGTAACTGTTTTCGAGATCGAACGCATTTGGGTAGCTGTGGGGAGCTAGCCGGGGGGAGTTCCCTCCTTTACTTGAGAGGGCAAGTACTTGTTTTCGAGATGGAACCTCTCCTCGAGAGGTTCTTCTCTCTTTGATAGTAAGAATACTATCATCAGGTTTTAAATTAATAAAATTTATATGTCTATTATATATAAAATAAATCTTATATTTTAATTTAATATTATAGTATTGTGTATATTTCAGTTTAAGATGGTTTAAATTTTAATAAAATAAAATTTAAAAATTTTAATTAATTAATTTTTATGTAAGTTGATTGGTCTTTTAACTTAGCTGATTAAGTTGAACCGTTTTCGATTTCACTGATTCGCTAGTTTAATTACGATTTTAGCGATTTTATCAAAATATATTAGTTATATTTATTTGATTAAAAAAAAACTAAAAATTGACCCAATTAAATATTAAAATGATTGAGATTGCTTGATTAGAAATAAACTTTTCGTTCAAATAATTGTTAACTTTTATTTTATAATTCCACATTGGGAAAAAAGTGAGTTATTTCACTTATATAAAAGTAAATCTTATGATCTCATTTAATATTGTAGTGTTGTGCATACTTCAATTCAAAACAGTTTAAATTTTAAAAGTTTTAATTCATTAATTTTGTGTAAGTTGGTTGGTTTTTTGACCTAACCGATTAGGCTAAATCATTTTCAGTTTGACTGATTCGCTAGTTTAACCATGATTTTAGGGGTTTTATCAAAATATATTGGTTAAATTTGTTTGATTCAAAATAAACTAAAGATTGACATAATTAAAGATTAAACGACCGAGATTGCTTCATTTGAAACAAACTTCCTACCAAACAATTGTTAACTTTTATTTTACGCAATCCCACATTAAGAAAAAAAAGGAAAAAGTGAGTTGTTTTACTTATATAAAGTGAACATTATACTCTCATTTAATATTGTACTGTTGTGTATGTTTCAGTCAGAGATAGTTTAATTTTTAAAATAAAATAAAATTCAAAAGTATTAATTAATTAATTTTTATGTAAGTTGATTGGTCTTTTAACTTAGCTGATTAAGTTGAACCGTTTTCGATTTCACTGATTCGCTAGTTTAATTACGATTTTAGCGATTTTATCAAAATATATTAGTTATATTTATTTGATTAAAAAAAAACTAAAAATTGACCCAATTAAATATTAAAATGATTGAGATTGCTTGATTAGAAATAAACTTTTCGTTCAAATAATTGTTAACTTTTATTTTATAATTCCACATTGGGAAAAAAG